GCCGGGCCAGTTTATTTACCTGCTGACGCGGCAGGTTCGGCCGATCGTGGCCCCCACTGGCCGCGGTTCGCCGTCCTGGGCCAATGGGGGCGGCGAGAAGCAGCGCGGGCGAGCAATGTGCTGGCCGCGGCTTCTTGCTGCCCCCATTGGCCCGGGACGGCGAACCGCGGCCAGTGGGGGCCGCGATCGGCCGAACCTGCCGCGTCAGCAGGTAAATAAACTGGCCCGGCCCGCGAGGGTGCTTACCCTGGCGAGCCGCGTGCCGAAAGTTGCCGACCCCTGGTGTAGACAGAACAAATGGTAATTTTAATTTGTTAGGTACTACCACTTGCTCTGTCTACATTAGAAGATTAAAACGTGTTAGCTGTCAAGTTTTAAAAACATACCATTTTTTCCTAGTATGGACAGGGTTTTAGAAGGTGAGGCCTTCACTGTGCCCATATATTCATCTGCTGAAGTTCCAAGGACAGCACTGAACATCTCCACTTGTTCTGTTTTGGTTAATTATGGTTTTTGGATTAGCATTGTTTGCAAAGTTCTGTTGTGCTTTTAAAGTTGTTCTCTATTTCATCAGTTGGCTAAGAGCCTGATCTTGTGAATCCTTACACTTGTGAGTAATGAGTCTCATAACTTTCAGTGGCATTACTAATGTGAATGAGGGTTAGCAGATTCTGGCCCCAGGTATGCAAAAGGTTGTCTCACCTCTAAGGGAGAAAAAACAAACAAACAAACTAGGATCTATAGTTAGTAAAGATGGCAAGACTTGGGACGTGGGACTGCAAAATCTTAAAAAGATACTTGTCAACATGTTTAGGCCTCGCAAAAGTGTTTCCTTTAAAAAAAAAAGAGCATCTTACTAGATTACACCTTTCTCTATATAGTATAATCGTTTTACTTTTTAGAACAACCTTTGATTGGATCTTCATCAACCCAAAACAGCAAAAGCTTAAAAACAAACAAAAAAAAACTTGTGGGAATTTAATTATTTTTTACACTGTTTTTCCCTATTCCCAAATTTAGAAAAATGTAAAAATTTCAACATTTTTTGATTGTCAAAAAATTTCAATCACGTCTAATGTATAGCTGGTTGGAAAAAATGATCATATTTTTAATTTAGAAAATTTTGAGCATCTCTAGTATATTTTTTTAAGTGTCATTGAATGTGTTTTTACTTCATCTATCCCTTTACCACAACCATTGTTTCAGTGTTGACTCACAGGAAAGAAGCTTATTTAATGAATCACCAGTCCCTGTAAGGTTTTCCTTTTGGGGTCAATTCTGCCTAAATTTAACCCTATTTATTTTGAGAGATATGATGAGATCATAACATGAGGCTTTTTTAAAGTATTACATAGCATCCTATAGGAATGCTGCACGGAATTTGCCTTACTCTAAGAAAATTTGCAGGCTTGAATAGATTAGCAGGTTGCGTAAGGAGGCAGGGATGCAATGTCTTGTATGGATCTGGATTGGTTCTGCATAGGTGATGGTCTGATTATGTTCAAGCCTCTGGCTGTGACAAATGAGAAAATTAGATTTAATCTAAACCCCTGGAGAGGAAAGTGTACTGTTGTGCTTGGGAGCTCAGTTTCTTGCCACTATCTCTGTTCCACCCAAGAAGACCATGAATACAAACAGTGTTAAAGCTAACAGTTAAGCAACTGCGTAGGGGTTGGTGTTGCTGTATCCTTGAGGGGCCTAATGCTGACAGCATTAATATACCCTATTGGGTGCTAACAGAGCTGGCTTAAACTTTTCTATGACAGATGCTGAATGTTTATGATATGCTTTGCAAGTGCTTGTCAAGGCTTTATGTAGTACTTATTTTAAGTACTACTGCTTAATATTAAAGCTATCTGTACTTGGACTAGTATGTGATGAGGCTGCTGATGGCATATTAGAATCTGTCTTACATGGATATTGTATGGAAGTCTCTGTTCTGAATTAATCCTTATCTGCCTGTTTCTTTTCTCCTGCCTTTCCTCCTGCTCCCCGCTCTGCCTAAATCCACCTACGCAAACTAGGTTTATTTATTGGGCTTAGTAAAAGGAGATCAAGATAGCAGAAAGCTCCCATTTTATGTAATCACTTTGGTTGACTGTTTTAAAACCCATCAAATGTCATCTACTTTAGACTCATGTGATTCTAATATTTCAAAATTAAATATTCCAATAATTTGAAAATGGAAAGAAAATTATAAAATTCATGTGTGTAACAATCATTAAAAACAAGTAACTACTTCAGTGACCAATCAATTAGATTATCAATGAATGAACACAAATATGCAAACGGAGTAAGAGTTTGCTAATAATAATCTAGTGCTTTATAGCATCAGAGTCCTTTGCAAAATGCTAATTAATCTCCATGAGACTCCTGTGAGGCTGGTAGCTATTATTATAATCCCCATTTTACTGATGAGGAAACAAAGTCCTAAAGACTTGATGACTTGCTGAAAGCCTCATTGGGACAGTATGCCTCTCCATAACGAAAATATTTTAATATTTTAAACTGGTGAGTTCATAAGATCAGTATTTGTTTCTTTTGCTTTACCAACTGCTTATGTCTCACTTAAACAAATCTTAGAGCCTTTATGAAGGTTATCACAGTATTTAACAAATATGCATTTTTTTGTTAAAGCATTTTTTTTCAGGCATTTAATTTGCATCAATCATCTTATTGACTGATGTAGCAGTTTCCAACCAAAGTTCAGAAAACTGTCTGTTTCCAAATGTAGTTGTGCCAATTAATGGTTAAACACTAACCAAACATAACCAAATAGAGAAGGCTTTATATAATAGCTGGATTCACTAAGTATGGTCTCTGTATAAGACCGTGGCCCAGATTCAAAGTAGACCTCTCTTGTCCCAAAATAACAACTTAAGTGAGCTAACAGTATAGCTTTCCTCCTCCTTTTTGGAAGCTCAGTGTGTAATACTAGCTAAGTGTGTTGTGTCCATCACTAGTGGCTTTTCTACACAGAGGAGAAGATCCTACTGGTGCTAACAGCTAATGAATTTTCTTCTTTAGCTTAAGTGGTAGAGACCTATGCTTTTTGTGCTGAATGTCCCAGGTTCTGTGCCTGATCCTTAGCTAAGGTAAATGGCTGTTGAAGTTAATGAAGCTACATCAGTTTACCCACGTTGAGGATCTGGCTCTGTATCTCTCTTCACAACCAATGGTGACATGTAAGAGTTGATCCAGTCTACCACTTGCTAACCTGATACTCAAGCAAAGGTAACCATTTAGTGTGATCCCCTATCTAGACAAGGGACTTGTGGTATGCACACATGCTGTATGTTACTTCTGTCCAGACTGAAACTGAGAGTATGTCTATACTACAAGCGCTACAGTAGCGAAGCTGTGGTGCTGTACTGTAGACACTTTCTACAGTGACAGAAGGTTTTTTTCTGTAACTGTAGTAAATCCAGCCCCTGGAGAGGTGATAGCTGGGTTAATGGAAGAATTCTCCCATCGACCAAGCTGCATTGACAGCAGAGGTTAAGTCGACTTAACTACATCACACAGGGTATGAAATTTTTCATTGCACTGAGCGACATAGCTAAGTTTTAAGTATAGACCAGGCCTGAAGACAGCAGCTGTACTAGGTGAACCAAAAGGGAACCTCCTTTAGGCTGATCCCATTGAGGCTGTGCTGACCATGCCTTGGCTGGAAGACCATTTTTACATGGCTTGGGAGGTTTTCCTTTGAGTTCACTCTCTGCATTTGTGGCCGAGAATTGATACTGTGCACAACAGCGCTTTGGGCTTTGGCACAGGGACTTGAAATGTCTTAATACGAGGTTAGAGCTTTGTCCTGCTCCGATTGAAGTCCATGGCCATAAGCTATATCAAAGTAATTCACATTTATATTCTACATATGGCTTGATTTAGAGACTCAATTAATAGGAAACATTAAAGAGATGGTTAGAAGGAGGGAGGGGGAAACAGGATCTGTATGAGGAGCCAATTATTCAGTTTAATAATTCAGTGGTTTTTACATTAATAGTCTGGAAAGTAAATACTACTTCACATAAATGTAGTGTTTCATTATTTATACACTGTTGAAATTGAGGTTTAATTATGATTAAAGAGTAAGACTTTTAAACCATTAATGAAACATGTTGCTTTGTGCAGTCAGTAAAGTACTGGTGGCTTAAAGTATAAGCAGATTATTCTGCAGTACAGGACAACAGCTATCATGCTGAGGTCATTATGAACATTATGTTAGTTTCTGGAAAGAGCCATCCGCAGCTTTATTAATTAATTGCCATTTTTTCTTTATTTCTTTAGGCCTTTTGTTTTGTTGGTAATATTAGCTGTACTTGATTGATTGTGTGCTGGGACCAGGCTAGGATGTATTTCCTCACTTCAGTGATGTAACCCCTTTATCCTTTTGAACAACCCAGTGATAACTGTGATGCTTGTGATTTACTTATTTTTCTATGCATCTGGATAGCAGCACATTAATGTGGTTCAGATCGGCATGCAAATAGGACGAACCAAGAGGAAAACATTCTAGGAATGGCTTTAATTTCTATACTAATAAATGCAAAAAACAAAGGCCAAAGTTTTCAAAAGTGACCACTGATTTTGTGTTCCCAATTTGAGATGCCTTAAAAGCACTATTTGAGAGTTAGGTATCATTATTTGTTATAAAGGGGCCTGATTTTCAGAAAGTGCTGGGCACTCATTCTGTAAATATCAGGCCCCTTGAAGTGTCTCAAGTTTGGCACCCAGAAAGTTGAAGCACGTGAAATCACTAGTCACTTTTTAAATTGATGCAATGGGCCGACCCCTTTTCTCACTGGAGTTAGTGACCCAAGATACAATGAGAATAGGATGAGGCATAGTATGATGAGTATAAAGGGCCTCTGAAAATGCCTTTTACATGGCAGTTTTGGATATGTACGTTCCCCTTTTATATACTGGTCAAACGTTCTAAAACTTAAAAAAAAAATCAATCAGATGGGAGACGTGCTCTACTCAAACTGACATAATGGGCTTGATGCAGAAGGTCAGACTAGATGATGATAATGGTCCCTTTTGGCTTTAAAATCACTGAATCGAGAATAAAAACCTCACTCGCTCTTCAAGAGCCAAACAATGACTTTCCGTTCTGTTAATTCAGTGTAACTTGTGTGTACAGAGGTACAGATGTATGCAGACAGGAAGAGAGATCAAACCTGTTCTAGCTAAAGATACAGAAAATAACTAGCCTATTTCTTCATGTTCTCATGATAACATTCTTGATTGGACCCAGTGACTCAGTCTACATCCTGTTAACAAGCTCAACTCTAACGAATCCACCGCTTTTTTTTATAGCTATTATGCTCTTTTAATGTAGGAAAAAACCTTCCCCCACACTCCCTTCAATTGCGTGTTTTTTATTTATATTTATTTTTTGGAAGACCTGGGAAACAGAAACACTTGAAAGAACTTCCATCTCTGCAATGGATGCACCTGGCAGTTGTGGCATGTGGCAACCGGCTGGAAGAGACTCTTATCATGCTGAAATCAGCAGTTCTGTTTAGCTACAGGAAGCTCAAGTTTCACATCTTTGCTGAGGATTCCCTGAAGCCTGAATTTGAGAAAAAGGTGAGTCTGCTTCTTTCTCATTTTCAAAAACAATGTAACGGTTGTAGCCTGCAAATGTATGATAACAAGGACATGGATGTCAACAAGTTAATTAGTGGATAGGATCTTTAAAAAATAAATAAATGTGAGGGCTTGTTACTAAACATGGGCTGTATAGGCTTTTCTTTTTTTAATTGTTAGATAGTTTTATGCAATACTATTAAATAATCAATGTATCTGAATTTTAATCCTTTCCCCCATGTTTTTCAGTTAAGGGAATGGCCTTCCTCTTACACCAAGAAGTTTGAATACAATGTCTACCCAATTGCTTTTTCAGTAGGAAATGCTCAGGAATGGAAAAAATTATTCAAACCTTGTGCTGCCCAGCGCCTCTTTCTTCCGGTAAGGTACCTGGATTTCTGAATATGCAGCTTCAGGAAAAGGTCTGTTTCAAAGTAAGGAAGCTTTGCCAATGTGAGATTGAAAACATTTTTCCAGCTGAAATTTCCTTTCTAGGACATCTTTATCTGTTCCTCTGTCCACTTAAATCACAATCTTACCATTCCTCCCCCTGGCAAAGAATGCTTCTTGTTTGATGCCAGCTCCTTTTGCCTGTTGGGGGTCAGTGTCAGTACTGTTTGGATGTAGGTGCTGCATGCTTTCCAAATGTCACATTCCTTTAAAGAGGCAATCCTTGGTCCCGTTTCTCTCATTCCCTATGTGCCCTATTAGAATGGAGGGTTTTTAGGACTCTTCTTCCCTTGCAAACCCCTGCGCCCCCCCCCCCCCCCCATGCATCCAGGTTGTCCCTGAGAATGCAATTCCATGGTTCAGAAAAATGTGATCCCATGTGAGACTCTCAGAATTGTGGAGTGTAAAAAGCCCATGTGTTAGCGCTTCCAGCCTCTGCACAGGTTGTATTGGCCACCCTCTTCCTTAACTTGTACTGCCAACAAGTCTGTTTGCTTAGTAACATTTAGGGGGGAGGCTTTCCAAGGCCCAAAGACCAGTTGGGTGCCCAGTTCCCATGGAAAGTCAACTACAGACCAGAAGGAACGTTGGAGCTAGAGGCAGACAGCTGAGAGTCCCTGTGAAGTGTGTACACAGGAGGCCTGAAGACCAGCCATGCTAGTAGCCGTAGCACTGCTTTCACACTCCGCACACTGCACGTGTTCGGAGCCTGCATTCTCATAGACTCTGGCTTGACTTCGTAGGAGTCCCGTAGCTAAACCCCAGCACGCACCAGGAAAACGGACCCCGAAGTGTGGGTTCATGGAACAGCATTTTCATTCTGAGCGTAACCCAGTTTCAGAAGAGCCCTGTTGTGAATGTGCCTGATCCTCCATGCTTTGTACCTCTCTAGTCATTTATGCCCCCTGGATTGAGGTTTTTTGGGCAGAGATACTGCTCTATTGTCCTTGACTGGCTGATCTCCATCCATCCTTCTGGTGATGGACAAAGGTTAGGTGTCCACGTTGATGCTTTTAGGTCGATGAGCAGCTTTCACCACCTTCTGCCACAAGGTGATGGTAGAACCTGCACACCCTACCAGGGACGGGGGAGTTGTTCTTGAGTGGCTTTGTTCTCTGAGAGGACGCGGAGGGGAGTATTGGACGAATGCTTGTCAGCTCCAAGGGCTGACTTGTATAGGGTGCCCTGAGGTTCTGTCCTGTCATTCCTCATATTTAAGATGCTTGTGAGGAGATAGCGACACGATTGAGTGCCCTGCAGCCCAAGCGCTGTCTGTTTTCTCAGACCAAATCAGTTGGTTTTTTCAGCTTTCCTAGTGTCTGACCGAGACTGAGGCATGGATGAGAGCTACGTGGCTGAGGACCATTGGGACTAGGGTGACCAGATAGCAAGTGTGAAAAATCAGGACGGGGGTGGGGGGGTAATAGATGCCTATGTAAGAAAAAGCTCCAAAAATCAAGACTGTCCTATCAGGACATCTGGTCACCCTAATTGGGACTGAAACTAAGGTGATGGTGAGCTGGGAAAAACAAGAGGTGGAAATGGCTGAGGTGGTAAGTGACCCTTTGGATGAGGGAATACACCAACTTTTTGTTGTTCAGGTTCACAATCCGGAGTCTTACTGGACCGTGAGCTGTTTCTGGATGACCAGAGCTGTAGTTAAAGCTTTCTTCATCTGTGTTCAGCCACAGGGTTCCAGCCCTTCCTCATAAATACCCATGACAATGTCCACATTCATAACTTTGTCCCCTCGGGCTGAATCACTGCAGCACATGCTATCTTTGCCCGGACCTAAAACTGGCTGAGGCAATTCAGCTAGTGCAGAAGGCAAATGTTTCACTTAAGAATATTACACCTGTGATGCGGAGCTTGCACTGGCTCCCAGTTTGTTTCATCATGGGGTCCAAGGTGTTTGCTTTACACCTAGAAAGCTCTTCATGGTTTGGCTCTTGACTCTCTGTGATCAGCTCTCCCATCCTGTATAACCTCAACAGTTGAGATAAGGGACCATTTATACAAGCTGAGGATCTGGCCCATGATATCCCAGGGCTTTCAAGCTATCAGACCTTATGTTTAAATGGTGGAAGAGCATTTTAATTTGAAGGCCCTCACCTTGAGAATTCTCTTCTGGAGTCCAACAGAGACCAAATTAGTTGGTCCTCAGGATGTGCTTCAAGACCCATCTATACACTCAGGCTTTTTCTGAGAGGGTGACCTGAGCTGGGTGGGAGTGGAGTTCTTTTAATGCCCTTTCTACATTCCGTCTGTTTAAACCATTAAGTTGAGACATGTTTTAAATAAATTAGCCTACTGATGTTGATAGGCTAGTGCGCAAATAAATAAACCCGTCCACCTTTCTTCAAATTACTCCATGTCCTACAGATCTCTGAGTGGAACTGCATAAAACGTTAACACTTTTTGGAGGGTCCCAAGGGAACAGCAGCTTAGCATAGCATAGGCTATGTACCCCCCTCAGCTGCACACATTATCTTGGTTCAGCTAATGCATGTGCTGATCTCAGGTCAGAATTCGAGCCTTTGGTTTACTATCTCTTTTGAACTTCCCTGCCAATTAAATATCTTTTCTTTCCGGAACGCCAACAGACCTGTGAAACTGGAAAGAAATGTACAAGCGTGCTCCGAAGGGGCCTTGTACAAGGAAGTTTCAATGCGAAGTTCATTGCTAATAATGTTAAGGCCATGTGTTGTGTTCCTGCAACCCCAGATAATGAAGTGTTTCGTTTTGAGTGGCAGACGAATGCTGGCATTCCTGATTTTTGTAGAAGCTACCAGAGACTAAAATATTATTAAAATGTTAAGGAAGATCACAGTAGATGACAAGAGGGGCAAGTCACAGCATCGGATTATAAACCTGTCATATCAGGCGTAGGGTAGATGGACTGGACCTAAGGGAATTTGAAATGAAGTCTACATTGATGTTTTGGCTGCAGTCTCTCTCTGTAAAACCAATCAGGGTCGCTGCAGATCGGATCTTAAAATGACTACAAATAATGGGCTTTAAAAACAAAATTAAGTTGAGATACTAAGGGTACATTCATTATACCAACACGTTCAGGTTGGTGGGTAGCAGAGTGACACCATTCCATGGGAATATTATTATTTCTAGCAAGTGCCATCTGAGTATCTGCAATGTCTGTGCAAACATCAGTAGTCAGGTGGTGGTACCCTCACTCACGCTAGATACCATCTTACGCCACAGACGTCTCCTTGACTTCAGTGTACTCAGATCTGATGGTGATGGGTGGCAATATAAAACCCTGAGTTGGGCGCTGTGCAGTTTGAAGAAAGCTGGCCAAATCTGGCCCTTTTTCATTGCCCTGTGAGTGAGCTGAATGCTGTCCACATTTCACAGATGTGGAAACAGAGCAGTTCCCTTAACCTTTTTTTCTGCCTCAAAGTCATGCAGGAAGCCTATGGCAAAGCCTTCTGCCTGCTAGTCCTGTGCCTGAACTGCAAGCCCATTCCGCCTCCCCAGAGGAAAATTGCTGCCTGCCTGGCCAGTGACGCTATTGGCATGGTCAGTGGGTTGTTGGCTGCATTCCTTTTGAATACCTTCACTGGTCATTTCACTGGGAACATCGGCAGTGGCTTGGGAAGGGGTGAGCTCCCTAGGGGCAGGGACCGTCACTTGTTTTGTGTTTGTACAGCCCCTAACACAGTGGGCACCTTGTCCATGACAAGGGCTCCTAGGTGCTATTGCAAAACAAACAATAAATAATAACAAGCATATACTTTTCCAGTGAGCAAGAAGCTACGGGGATGGAGCCCTGCTTGCAGGAGTGATTTACAGACATGCTGTGTGTCTTGGATGCACAGATGCTATATTCCATCTAGAGAGCTGGGATGGCCCTTGCACGTTGCTGCATAGAGCTACAAAAACACTATAAATATGCAGAGAGCTTAAGGAAGAAGATTTCAGTCTTAATAATTAACATTTATACAGAATCTTCCACCCAAGATTCTCCAAGCACTTCACACATAGAAGCCCGTGAGGGAGATTAGTGTCATCCCCACTTTACAGGTAACTAACGTGAGTCTCTTGAAGTGACTTGCCAGGGGCCACATAGTGGATCAGTGGCAGAACTGGGAATAGACTCCAGGGCATTGTCCTGACTGGAGTTTTTGGCTCTGGAGGTAGCTCAGTTTGACAATCCATTAACTAAGATGTTTGTGGGTGCTAACGTAGACATTCCCCAAACCTGTGATCCTGGTCATGGGTCAGCCATAGGATCTGGACAGAGCGCCAGGAGTATGGACCCGGTGGCCAGTTTGAACCTGTTGGCAACACTGCCTCTCTTGGCACCAGTATATGCTTACCTGCCAGCATGTTACTACTTGCCAGCCTTACTAACATCGGGAGAATCCACAGAGACAGAAGTTGTGGAATCAAATTACAGATAATTGAGTATTTAACTGAAGTGTCAAGCTAAATATAGCAAGTTCTGGAGAGAACTCTCAAAAGATTTATTAGCAAAACGCTACACAGCTGTGAAAAACATTGAGATTATGCGCTTCTAAACTGTAAATGGCTTGGAGGGGGAAGGAAGGGGACAAGGAAAAGCAGGACTCTCATATTCCCAGTTGGTCATGTTCAAAAGTCATGTAATTGGGAGGAATTCTATCACATCCTGACTCAAAAATCTTGTCTGGAGACTTGTTTGTTAGTATCGAGTACATCTGTTATTGCCAAAGTGAGACATTAAAGCTGGGATTTTCAAAAGCAACTAAGCGAGTTAGGCGTCCAACTCTCTTTGGCTTTCGGTGAGAAGGCAGTGCCTGTCTCCCTTAGCTGCTTATGAAAATCTCACCCTAGCAGAGCTCCAAGATTATTGTAAATACTGCATTTGACTTGATTGTGGGGAGTACCAGAGTTTACACCAAATTCCCTCCCTGGTTTAACCCCATTGACTGCAGTGAAGTTACATGAGGGACTCATTTGGCCAAGTTATTCTAGAAGTTAAATTGCTGTGCCCAAGGCCAAGTCATATGCACATCCAGGAAGAGATGTGGTCTCATCACACTGACCTCTGCAGCTTAAAGATGATTTTTTTACACTTCCTGTGTGAACAAGGAAAATGCTAAAGGCTTAGAAGAAATAGCAGCACTTCCCTTCCAGCCTGCTAGGAAGGTTTTGAAGGAGGATAATGAGTTCGTTTTGCAGATCCTTAAAAGTCTCCTTTTCCATGACGCCTACAAAAGTTTGACTGTGCTGAGGCCGCCGGTGTGCTGAGACCACTGCCTATCATGTTGACCAATATTGTCTCATTGTTTCCTTGTACTCCCCTATCTGTCTGTGTCCATCTGTTAGCTCTTGTCTTATACTTAAACCTAGTCTACACTTAAAATTTAGGCCGATATAGCTTCATCAGTCGGGGTATGAAAAATCCAAGCGCCTGAGCGCCATAGCTGTGCTGACTTAACCTCCAGAATAGACGCAGTTAGGTCGATAGAAGATTGTTTCCATTAACATTGTTACTATTGCTCGGGGAGGTGCTGTTCATACATCCACGGAAAAACACCTTCCATCGGTGTAGGTTGCATCTTCTCTACCGGGTTATGCCAGCGTGGTTACGGTGCCATATATATGCCAATATAGTCGCCGTACTGTAGACAAGGCCTCAGCTTATAAGCTCTAGGGCAAGGACTGCCTTCTTGTTCTGTTTGTACTGCACCTAGCACAGTGGGGTTCTGGGCCATGACCAGGGTTTCTAAGTGCTATGGTAATTCTAATAATAATAATGGACTCTACAGTGTGCTGAAAATCCTTGGGCAGCTGACAAAGAAGGGTGTTTCAGCTTATCTTCTTTTAGCTTCCTCCAGAGCTAACAAGAGAAACTCAGGGCCCAGTTCTCTGAGTATCACTGCCCCAGGAGTCCTGACTCCCAGTCTAACTCAAGCCTCTGCCTCTCTAATCTATAGTATTGGACTAATAATATTATATAGTTTTATTGGTATCTTCCTGTCACAGGTTGTGTTGTCTAGTAACAGGTGCCCGTTCAGAGGAAAAACTATTCTGTACTACTTAGATATTGTGTGTGCCATTATCTACAGTAAGTTAGAGCCGAATGTATTATTCAGTAACCAAGCGAGTAATTGTCTGCACGGAGCCCTCATTAGAGACATTATTTTCCACTTTAAAAAGTGCAGGCACCCCTTTTGCTTGTCAGGCTGGGCAGGGAGAATGTGCCTTTGTGATGTCAGAAATGGGGTGGAGCTTTCATTAAACTAGGCTAAATGTTCATCCAAATCCCGAAGCCTTGAGCCAGGAGGAAATCACATTGAGGTTGGCATTCAAGGATTTAGTCCAGTCTTAACAGAAGCCTATTGAGCATGCTCAAAGTGTTTTTTGTCACTTATCACTTTAATAACCCAAGTTATCTTATACATGGTTGCCAGAGGAGGGGGTACACTTCAACGAGCACCGTTTACAAGTTCAACTGGTTTTTGAGTTATCTGAGTAAGGAGGGAAATGTGGATACTTTGTCTTTGCAATGGGACTAGTGATTGATTGTTTGTTTCTTTCCCCAACCTGACCGCAATCAATGGCTGAACAGAGGTGCCAAAGAAACAAAACTTTTGGGTGAAACCCAGGCTAGTAAATGTCAGTCCTTCAGCTTTTTGGACAGTTTTAGCAAATAAAAATGGGGAGGCATCAGAAGGTTATAATTGCAACTGATTTTCAACTTTAATAGCATTTGCTGTTTAGCAAACAGTATATTGAATAGCTGAATGTTTCTCTGATACAAAGGTCAAAGGAGTTTTCACACCCTTAAAGTTCCGTATTATCTGCCTGCTAAAATTATCAATGAATGTGTAAGTTACTGGATTTCCACAAGGGGGCATACTGCAAGCAAGAATAGACTAGATATGATGGGCCTGATTCTACTCTCCCATACACCAGCTTTACACTGGTGAAACTGAATTAAGTGCAGTAACTCCTGACTTACACTGTGATAACGGAGATGAGAATATGGCCCACAACCTCCTTTTTAAGACTTCTTTTATTTGGCTGGTTGCATGTTTTCCTAAAAAGCAAAGAATTAAAAACACTTCAGTGCAGGCGATCCACAGTTAACGTTTTTTAAATTAAACTGCATGGAAACATGCGGCTTTAATTCATGTCAATAAGTGGATGTAATTTACCCAGTGAGGGGGTAGAGAGCTGTAACAGGAAAAGTGGCCAGCGGCCGGGTGTAAGGAAACATAAGATAAAAAGGAGATGGGAAACTGTTCTGTTATCAACCACCTTACATTTTCTTCTCTGCTGCAATAGAACACGGATGATTCGGGGGGGAGGGAGGGGTCCATGCTAGCCAATCTGGGATCTAGATTTGGCTGTCTGGCTAGACCATGGAAGGGTCTCATGCCAAGGTCCTGGTGCATATTGTGGCAATATTCACACCTCTACCTCGATATAACGCTGTCCTCGGGAGCCAAAAAATCTTACCGCGTTATAGGTGAAACCGCGTTATATCGAACTTGCTTTGATCCACTGGAGTGCGCAGCCGCCCCCCCCCCCTTCCCCCCCCCCCGAGCACTGCTTTACCACATTATATCCAAATTCGTGTTGTATCGGATCATGTTACCTCGAGGTAGAGGTGTAGTTGTAAAATGTTGGATGTTGGTTTTTTTGTTTGTTTTGTTCGTTTTTTTTATAATTACTTTCCAAAACATTTGCCATATCAATGCCTAAATTACATACCCACATTCTGCAGTAATCGCACAACTTCCTAGTCTTCGGGAAAACTAGCAACGCTATAGTAGTGCAGAAGGTAGGTGTTTTGTTAGTAAAATCAATATGAAATAAGACTTGTGCGTTAGATCTCAGGTTGTTACGACAGCTAAGCGGATTATTGTTTTGTGTGAAGAATAGCCTTTGATTTTTGCACTTTGCTCTAGCTATTTTGCAATGCTGGTTGCCCTTTTTTTTTTTTTTTTTTAAATCTACTTACTGTTTGTGACTCCCACAACAGTTGGCAATGTCAGTTGATAACTGTCGTTTGCATGAATGCATAATTTAAAATGCACGTAATTCTTGAGCAGTAATCAATTTCCTTTTTCCGTCTGTCTGGTTTCCTTTTCCATCTTCCCTCACTTCCCCACCCCGCAACCCCCAAAGGTGATTTTAAAGGACGTGGATTCTCTTCTCTACGTGGACACTGACGTTCTCTTCCTGAGGCCCATTGATGACATCTGGAGCTTTCTGAAAGAGTTCAACTCCACACAACTGGCTGCTATGGCCCCAGAACACGAAATACCAAAGATTGGTTGGTATAGTCGATTTGCTCGTCACCCTTACTATGGAACAACTGGAGTCAATTCCGGAGTCATGCTGATGAATTTAACCCGGATAAGAAACACACAGTTCAAGGTGAAAAACTGCTGTAGAAATTTACTTTCTCTTTTTAAAGTAAACTTTTAGGAATACTTGTGCTTGCATAAAACAACTTGTACAGTATGGAATTGGAAAAGGATGCTGGACAAACTCTGTCAGAACCAAGCTTTTAGAAAAACTAGTAGAAAGATTTCCTGATATTTAAAAAAATTAAAAAAGGTGAAAATGATTATTTTTAACAAATTAAACATTTCCCCAAAAGCCAGAGTTTTAAGACCCTGGAAGTGCAGCAGCCTAAAAGCAAAAGGAAAGCTGATGTCATTGATTGCCCCCCCTCTCCCATCTGAGACATGGAAAATTAAACCCAAGGATCAGTAGTGCTGAGCATACTGGACTTTAAAAAATACCTCTCACTGGTAATGATACAAGGTGGTGTGAATAACATAGGGAACGATCTGTTTTATTTACATCGAATGAGGCCTGCCCTTGAGCTCCCTGACACCCCTGCAAATCACAAGTGGATGTCAAGGGAGATACTTGTGGCAATGAGGAGAATTATTTTCAAGTTGGCTTTGTTCTTTGCATATCAAAGGGCCTTGCCTGTGTAACCTTTTATTTACCTTGGTGAGCACTTGTTCCCATAACTACTCTTGTGAGTAAGTGCCCAGCAGTGTGAAGAAATATTCCACGAACTTGCCTAAGTGATCTGGCCCTGATAGCCTTACCCAGGCTAGATTGAGCCTTTCAGTTCAGCCCTGAGTAAGGATCAGTGCATAGCTGTGCCACCTCCGGGGCAGCCCCAGGAAGGAATTGTGCCTCCAAAGTTATGATCCCTCCCCTGCCCTGAAGGGGAAGTAAGTTACCATAGCCCTTGGGGAGGTGCGGCATACTTCCCCCAACTTGCACCTGGTCCCTACTCTGGCTAGTGAGTAGGAAGGTTGGAGCCAACGCTGTACCCACACCTGCTCTTCTTCACCAGCTCCCTGGCTAATTGCTCTCAATGGCAAGTATCTGGAGAGCAGGGGATGCGCACCACGCCAGTCTGAGACCCAAGTGGTCTTGCTTCCCTGTTCAGCTGAGTAAGACAAGAGCACAGCCCACCCTTCAGTGAGTCCTGCCTCTCCACTCATAGGCAGGCCCAAAGCTTCCTCACAGTGCTCTGGGTACAGGAGGGTTTGGGAGAGTTCTGCATAGGTGGGCCTGGGCATTAAGCCATGACTTTATTACCCTGTTGTTTGGTAAAACATTAACCCGCCTCCTCTGATTTCTTTCTGCCTTGTAGAACAGCATGATACCAACAGGCTTGATGTGGGAGGAAATGTTGTACCCATTATACCAAAAGTACAAAAATTACATTACATGGGGAGACCAGGACTTGCTAAATATTATTTTTTACTTTAACCCAGGTATGTAATGATTCCTATTAGTCTCACGCTTGTCTGAAACAAGTGAAGGGCTAGACCTTGTATAATCCAATAATGGGATTGTTATGATTGAAAAATATACATGAGATTGAATTCTGGCCTGAAAGGAATAACCTAAGGCCCCTAGACTGCAAACATGTATGTACATGGGATTTACACCCACTGGGACTACTATGGGCATAAGTGTGGTTGGGACTGGGGCCTGCTTCCAGTGCAGATGCCCAACTATACTACCTAAAGAGCCTGGAAAGTTTAGAAGAGTTTTCTAGGCATGGTACTAACTGCAGGCTGAATCCTGGGCTGAAGTTAGCCAGGCACGTACTTACTTGCGTTGCTGCATTAGAGCCTAGCTGAGCAACATTTTTGTCTTCATATTCATGGATGTTTATCTGAATCTGAAATTACTCACCTTTGTCCAAATCCATATCTATTTTCTGACATTCGGCTCAATCCCAATATTTATTAAAGGGGTGACGGTGTCAAAGCCGACAGATGCGACACTGACTCTGCTCTGAAAACAACATTTAAAAACGTTGTTTTATTTTTTTCCCCTTGAAAAATCTCTTCCCTTCCCAACCCTGTGCTAAAAAGCCAGACCTTCCAATGAGACAATGTTTCGACTCTTCAGCTGAGTTACCCATCCCGGTGACCTCAGGATGTTCGGATCGTTTGCACTCCCAGCTGTGTTGCGTTTTGTGCTCTCCCTTTTTCCTGCCTGCTCTGTGCCTGTGAACAGGAAGGATGTGAAAATCCTACAAGATCTTTTGTTGTCGGAAAGCAGGTTAGATATCCCACCTGCCCGAGAGAGTGGATAAGAGCAAGCAGAGGGGCAGTGTGACCTACAAATGTGGGCCACGAACACAAATATGTTGTTTTGTTTGGATCTGACTTCTGTCCACCAGCTTTGCACAGGGTCTTTTTAAACAGCTTGCTCTATTTTGACTTTTCACGTAGTTCCGCCTGAATTCAGGTCATAGTCACGTAGGTTTATGTTTTCAAGTGACTAGTGATTTTGGGTGCCGCAATTTTAAAGGGGCCTGATTTTCAGAAAGTGCTAAGCACCCACCTGTGAAATAATAAAATCCAGACAAAAATCAAAAAAATGGAGGCAGGGGAAATGCAAAGCAATAAAACAACTGTTATAGCAACAGCTATTTAATGCAGACAGATGTCCTAAATTAGTGTTTCGGTTGCAACAAGTAATAGCCTCATAATCCTAGGAAAAAGCTAATGTGGCAAAAACTGTGTACTCCTCATTATTAAATGTTATGGTTTCCAAAAAGAAGCAGACATCCCAAGATGCTTGGGCAATACGGCCTTGTGCTGCAGTATGAGGAGAAGGAAAGAAGACGACGCAGTTAATTCAAATTCACAATGATCATTTAAAGTGGGAGAGAAAATTGAGAAACCACTTGAATTCTGGGACTAGCAAACTCATGATTAGCTCCACATGTGAAGATCATTTTTCATTCCGTAGGCCTGGTCTTTTCCTCACATCTGGTAAATATGCTCCTAGGAACTATTTAGTATATCAAAAGTATTTTCAGAACAAACAACAAAACTTCCCTTCCCATGCCAGTTTAGAAAGCCCTATTGTAAAGAGCCATCAATTCAAAATCTCAGACGTTACAGAGGACAATTAATTTATCTACTCCATCCCACTGCAGCTTTTCCAGTGCATTAGCCAGGCATATACCTAGCCATTTTATCTGGGAAAGTATAACCTCTGTCCCCTGAAATAACCCAGCCGTGCAAAAGAAACAGTCAGAATCCAGTCAGATAATCCTTGCAGCACAAAACCCCCCAGGCAGCTCTGATTATTAATAGACTTGAAGGAGTGACTAGAATTAGCACCTAGTTGTGACAGCAAAAGTTGAGTGCTTGCATAGCTGAGGGGTGCGGGAGAGGAGAATGGGCGAGCACCACGTGTAAAAACTGATACGCGACGTGACGCCCTTGTTCAGTATTAAGGGCCTGGGCAGGAGTTGTGCTTGTGCAAACGCCGAGTACTGGCATCCTGCTGATAGACGCCTCCATCTACAGCTCGTTGGAGCCAATGGAAAGGCTCCCATTGACATTAATGGGATTTGGATCAGGCCCTTGCAGCTTCCCCTTCCACTGATTCTAGCACTGAGCGTTTGGCTGGAGCGAAGCATGAGGAATGTCAGGCTGAACAGAACGAGCTCGGAAAAGGGCCCTTACAACCACCACCTGCATTGGCGGGGTCAAGGGGAAAAGCGCTCCTGCTTTTCCCTCTCCCCCCTTAGAAACCCACCCAGGGACCAGTCACAGCTTTACTGGGCAGGATGAGTGAAGCCCCAGGAAAGGCCAAATGAAGTATTCAGTTTTCGGTGCTTATGGCACAGCTGTGATTCTGCCATCATGGAGACGGGTCCAGTACAGCTCTACTCCCTGGCTGGGAGATGACCCACAGGACTTGTCATGATTTATTGTAGCGTGCTGCGGATGCTGGGAATGTACAGAGTAAATTAAGAGAAGAGGTATAGCAGGAGGAGCCCGTTCATAAGGCACTTTGCGAGTAATTAGTTTGCTTTTGGAATTAATCTGGAACTGTATACGTAACAGACAGAAGGGCTTAGAAATGGGTGTCAGTGCGTGTAGGGTGGCTTTGTATGTTAGGGACCACACAGATTCCCATGGCAGCATTTGTGGATAAATTATCTCATTGCATGCTCCGGGAATCCATTGTACAACAAATTGCCATCCTCTGGCTTGGCATGTCAACCGCCTAGATGAGAGTTTCAGTGATGAGCATGGAAATAATTGAAAAGCTTTGTCCCACTGGCTCCAATAGGAGTCAAAATTCAGCCAACCACTACAGGTCTGTCTTCAAGTGGGATGCAGGTGATGGTGACTTGCGCTGTCTCCCTCTCATTCTATGGCCTTGCATGTACACAGACAGAACTAGAGAGGATGCTGGATGAAGGAGCTACACATTGCGTAGGATCTAGGCCTTGTTCTGTCACTAGTAGCCTGAAAAGCATGCTTTTTTTTTTCTCTCTCTCTCTCTCTCTCTTCAGTTTCTCTCTTCTCCCAGTTCTTCTATGGGCCAAGTCTCCTATTGTAACAATCCCCAGCCCAACAGTGGTGGGACTCTCACAATCATCTCCTGAAGAAAACCCAGTTAGAATTCTAGGCCATTAGCCTGAGTCACTACCAACAAAATGACCGAAAATCTCTGACAACCCCACCACTTTCCTAGCAATGTGATTAACTTGCGGTAATTGTTTAGTTCAATCTCTCTCTCTCTCTCTCTCTCTCTCTCATTGATGTTGCCAGAGTGTCTCTATGTGTTTCCCTGTCAGTGGAATTACCGGCCCGATCACTGTATGTATGGGAGTAATTGTAAAGGCGCAGAAGAGGAAGGCATATCTGTTCTCCATGGTAATAGAGGCGTCTACCATGATGACAAGCAGCCTACTTTTAAGGCACTATATGAAGTGATACGTGATGTAAGTGTTCTCCTCTTGGGTATTTTTTTTTTAATTTGATACAAAGCAGTGCAAGATCTTACAGCAGAGCGCTCAATGGCCTGAATTGCTCAAGTCTGAGGAAAAAGGGTACTGTGTGTATCCGCAGTGTTCACAAAACACTCTGTGTTGGACTTCCACCTCACAGTGTGTGTGTACGAGGGATGGTTGAAACCATCCTCCTCAGTGTTAAAACAAACTTCAAACCGTAAGGCCTGGTAAACTGCTTCTGAAGTGTATTAATGGAAATGGATTTGAAGGAGCTGGATCTTACATCCTTCACTATGGCATTATAACTGTGACTCCATAACTGTTATATGGAGCCTGATCCTGGCAGGGGCTGAGCACCCTCAAATAGTCTTCACCTCCCTGGGGAGTGCAGGGCGCTCAGCACCTTGTAGAGTCGGTCCCATCTTTCCATTTTGTGGGATGGAATTCTAACTTCAGACTCTGCTGGGTATTTTTGGTAAGTGTTTCAGGGGTTCCTTTCGTTTCTTCTTAAGACACTGGATTTAGTTCTCTCCCTTTATTTGTTAATAGAACCTGTGTATAAGTAGCATAAGCCCAGCAAAACATCTCCAGTTACTCTACCTTTGTGCTACTTAGTAGGCTGCCTACACGTGTCATGGTCTCATGTAGCGACAGGTCCGCATACAGGATAACAGCCTGCTACTGCAGCCAATTAATGAAGTTACTCAAGCTCAAGTGGCATAGGCTTATGCTTTCAGGGTTGAAGTCCCTGGTTCAGTCTCAGCTGCTGACCCCAGTTGGGGATCTTTACAACAGCCTATCCTTCCACTACTGAGAAAAGGAGCTGTTTAAACGTAGTGCTCTGTAGTACCTCAAGGATTGGCATAGAGCTGCCTCACTGTGGAAGATGATCTCCATCAATGAGCATAAGCGTAAACTCCAAGAACATGCTTGGCCCCAGCTGTATTACACTTACCCCCTAGCCTGGGCTTTAAAAATGCAGTTTCGGTGAAGCTGGCTGTGCTAGACAACATGGCTGGGCAGAGCTTTCTGAAAGTCAGTAGTCTCAAATGGATTTGACAAGTGGTTTCAATACATCGGAAGTCAGTGGCGACTCAGGAAAAAGCCAGTGCCCATTTGTATAGGGCCTATTCTGGCTCCTATTTATGGGTTGAATGGCGGCCCTGAGGACATTTTTAGCTCCCTCTGAATATCTCCCAACTAAAAGTGGTGTTAAACTTTTCAAATGTCATTCATAGCTACTGAAAATAATCAGTTTTCTTCTCTGCTCTCCTCCCTCTTCAGTTTCCCTTTGAAGACAATCTCTTCCAGTCCTTGTACTACCCTCTTCAGTCTAAGTTTCTGGATACTGTACACACTTTATGTGGGCGAATTCCACAAGTTTTTCTGAAGCAGATTGAGAAAACAATGAAGAAGGTTTATGAAAATCGTGTCATTGTTCATGTGGGAGCCAACTACAGATACTAAACATAGCTATACTTTATGTGGTAATTTTCATCCTTGTATCCAAATCATTTGAGGCAGATAAATTAAATTGAGGCAGGGGCACTGTCAGTTTAAAATTCATGTTATAAAAAAAAATTGTCTAAATTGGAACAATTCACCAAGGATCATGGTGGATTCTCCATTACTGACCACTTTTAAATCAAGATTGGGTGTTTTTCTGAAAGATCTGCTCTAGGAATTATTTTGGAAAAGTTCTATGGCCTGTGTAATACAGGAGGTCTGACAAGATTATCACAGTTGTCCCTTCTGGCCTTGGAATTCATGAATTTCCTGTTTCATTAATAAAACTCCTTAAATGATTAATATGGAATTTTAAAAATCCATTCAAACTGCCACTACTTATACTCTTTGTTCACTTCCTGCATTTCTCTCCCCTTGAACAAGGAGAATCAATGGTTTGACTGTCGCTAGAATGAGTTTCATGTGTTTAAACTTAAACATGACAGAACTAAAAACTTCAGGGGAATGTGTATGTGTTTAAAAACAACTATTTTCATTGGACGTGTTTTTCAGGTGTGGAAACATCTGTTTTATTAAAAAAAAAAAAAATCATCCCACAAGATTTAAATTTGGGTCTAGATTTAAATTGACAGCCTCACTGACTTAAAAATAGATGCGCAAACCATCATGACAGCCTTAGTTAAACATGACTGTATTAAAGGGAAACCATCTGCTTAAAAATCACTGAAAGGTGTGTGGGTGGGGGAGAGGGGAAGGGTCTGTTTGTTTACTTTGTGCATTTGACAGCACTTTGTGTCTAGTGAGTATCATTGTTCCCTGGCCTACTTTCCCTGTTTTGTTTGGGCCTTTCACACAGCAACAGGAGGGAGGCCCATTAAAGCCACTAAGAAGAACATATGCACAAATATTGGGAGAGGGATGTAGAGATAAGTACAGTACTTGAAACTAGTGTTAACTCACTTGCTGAAAGTACCTAGATTTCAAGTGTCTGTTTTAAATTCCCCTCTCTGTGGGAACATGGCTTTGGTCTTTTTTTCTTCCCGTTTTAAATACGTTACCTTTCTTGCTATTTTGTGGTTTTAATTATGTTAAAAACAGGCCAAGAACACTGTGAATGAACAGTAGGAAAACAGGTACTATTGAACTGTTTTTCTCATTAACCTTCTTTAATTACTACTTACTGCTTGGGAATAATTCTGTACCACTGAGAACCTTTCTTCCGGCACAGCGTTACTGGGAGACTGAGATTGCTGCCTCTGACTGCTTTTTCCAATATGCCAAAAATCCACTTGTTCTTGGACATAAAAAAAAAAAAAAAAAAAATCCACATTTCTGCTTGGCACTTTCATCCCTTGAAGTTCAGCATCTGTGCCAGGATTTTAACTAATGGCCTCAAAGTGAAATGGGATACAAGATGGCTTTGATGTTTGTTTTTTATTTAAAATATTTAATTTAGGTTATATTTCAAAAGAATGTTCATGTTGTAAGTAGTTAGATTGAAGGTTACAGACAGTGTTACACAGCTCATTAAAACTTGCAGTAGTTAAAAGATGCTCAGCAGAAGCTGTAGGAAACCTGAAACTTTAAGGATTCATGGTGCAATGACAGACCCATAAAAGACACTTTGTAAGTGAAAATCTTGAGGGATGTATACAGCAGAAAGGTTATATTGTTCAGCATGTGGAAGGCAACTGAATAGACAGCCTTACCTTACCTTATCTGTTCAGCAGAAAAATCAGCCATCACTTGGAACAGTCTTTTATGTCTAGTACACAAGGTGTCGAGGGGGAACTATTCTGTAATGAAAAAGTTGTGCTAGACTGCATTATAATATGCATGTAATACCAATAGTTTTCCAGGCATACATACTTAGCTTGCATGGCTGATGAGTGCTAGGGACATGTCACTTTAATTAGAGTCTAGAAGTTCAAGACTGTCTGCAGTGTTGGCATTGCTGCCCTCACCATTCATGACTGATACACGCAGTTTCGCGAGGGAACACGTGCCAACCGAAAATCCTCTTAGATGGGTGGCCCTCTTCTCCAGTAACAGCAGGCTAGCTGTCTCTCTCTGCCTAATCAGAACAGTTGACACTAATGTGCCCAAATGCAATACCTGGCTTGTGAGGGAGAGGAAGACATGAGGTTTGCTGGCAGCTAAGGCTGCCAAACAGGCAGGTTGTACACAGTGGTAAGTGCCTGTGGAAACCTTTTACAAATGCATGGGGTGTGAAAACATATGAGACACATCTGTAGGCACACTGAATGAATGGCATGGCATGACAGACAGCAGCACTAGGGAAGTGTCCGAGTAGAGTGAAATGGAAGAGCCCAGAATACCAGACTTGAAATCCTGGCCCCACTAAAGTCCGTGATTTCACCCCCGGGCTGGACTAGTCTTCAGAAGAGACACAACAGACAAAAGAACAGTTCTCTGACACAAGGCCTAATAGGACCCTCAAACCCCACACACTCCCCTTCCCCCTCACAATTTGCACATTTCTGGCTCTCATCCTCACATTATCTTATGCTCTTACTATGTAAGAGATCAAAGTACCTTAACTAGCAATGGACAGAAGCAGTCATTCTGAACAGTCTTTCAGCTATCCCTCTTAATGGGGGACCAGAAAGGCATTTAAACCTATATAGTGCAGGCTTGAAATATTTAGCATTTTTCTTCAAGCCCCAACTCCTGGAGTCAGATGATTTCTTCAGAATTTCAGTTTTCATTTAAAAAGAAATGTAAGTTTTTTGGCTCTTGTGGTTATGGAGAAGAGCTTGAAAATGTGACCCGAGTGTACCTGAACTACTCAAAAGCTAGTAAACAAATAAAAAGAACCCAAAGTGTATTATTTTAAAAGCTTCACGATATTTAAAATACTCTCGTGCTGTCTGGAGCTTGCTTCATGATTTTTAAACATTTTGGGGTTGGCAATAGCGCACACTTAAAAAATAGTTTGATTTCCTAAATCAGGATAAAGCAAACTGTCTGTAGGTCCTGTTTGGTTAGATTAGACATCCTCTGAGCATTTCTAAATTGCTCATCTCTGTGGTATCTACAAGCCACAGAAGTTTGTAGAGCAAAAGTCGTCTTGCCCAGAACTTGGAACTTTGCATTTTAGAACAGTGCCTCTCATATACAGCAGTATAGTTGCTAACTTGCAGACGCTTAGTAGGTTATGATTATGTCCATTATGATTCAGTAGAACTTGGAACCATGGGAACATATTTGTGATGAAGGAATCAAATAAGATACTATAGTTAATTACAAAATAAAGGCATTATTACTTATAAAGTTATTGGAGATTAAAACAGTGTTTACAGGTGGTGCTATATTTTTATAAAGAACAATATTATGTTAACAGTTGTCTAAGGTATATGAAGTATACATTTTAACGTGAAAATAGCTTTCAGTGTAATGTGAAGGCGATTATGCAGGAAAATAACTTTTTTTTGGTATTGTTTTTCTGAAAAAATTAATTGAGCTGTAATTTGAACACTCCAAAGCCTTTTTTAAAAAGTTACATAATTTTTTTTCTCATTCTGACTAGAATTATTAATTTATATTTTACTACTGCTTCCAAAAAACATTTGTCTTCATTTCAACAGCAGTTGGTTTTAATATTAAGCTTACTTTAATCACACTTCATACTCATTGCTAATTACTTGTAAATTAGCCTCATTTATTTTAATAATGGAACTATGTAAATACTTATGTAGGATTTATATATTTTTCCCTCCCCTTATATACTATTATTGTATTGGTAACGAAAACCCCCCCAACAAAACAGAATACCATTTTTCATGTACCACACTAAGCAATGACACCATAACGTATTAGCACTAAAAGAGGGAACACCAAAATAGTTATCTGTAGATTAATACAAATTCATTCTTTGGCACATTCAGAGAGTTGGTAACCCAGATTTCACAAAGAAAAATTCATCCGCTGCATTCAGAACAGTGTGGTACGGTACAGCCTAAATAACTGTGCCCTAGTTATTTGAACGCAGGCTGTGATCCTGCAAAGGCTTAAACTTTTCATACTGTGAGTAGCCCCATTGCAGTCAGTGGAACTACTTGCAGTGAATAAAATGAAGCATGTGCCTAAGTCTTGGCCTGTTCAGGGCTATCATGCACATTTCCAGGTTTTAAATTTGCTGTGCTATACTTGAACTTGCTAAAGTTATACAAAAAAGGGTCTGACACTGAGCGGTGCTGAGCACCTCCTTTCAGTCCTAACCCTTTTAAGGAAGTGTCAGAATAAAAATACACATTATACAGTGAGGGACGCATTTCTTTGCATCATTTTATAATGTGAGGGCTTTTTTGGCTGTTTGGCTGCACCTGGCAAAGTGAGCTACATAGCTTTGCTATAATTTCTGTTCTTTACAGGAGGAAACTGGAAACTATTTTTTGATGTGTGTATGTGCGCGCATGTACATATGAGTGTGTAAAGAATTATGATCAATTTCTGTATCAATTAAATGCTTGTATATTTTATCTGACAAGTGCACCAATTGTTTATTGCTCCCAAGGAGGCATCGCGGTGCATTTCTATGTTTAAGATTTTTTGGCTTACAGTATAAATAAATGAACTTTTAAGCAAACTCCACATTTTCATGTTTTTTTTTTTAAATCAGAACAAATTAAAAGGATCACAGTAATAGGTCTCTTTACTTTAAGGACCATATTTTGCCCTGACCACCTATATGCACAACACAATGAAGGTTTGACAATAGCTGGGTATTAGTGTAGTTATGCAGTTCTGTATGAGGCTGTTCTTAATATGTTGCATATTTACAATAAATGATCATTTTCTGTTAACTTATTTTTAACAATAAAGTTATAGTTTGAAGTACAAAATCTTATTCTTCCATACCATGCTTTAAGACTAAAACAAGATTTTGTTGGTTTTTCAAATTACATTTTGTGGATATTTTAAATTCAGAAATGAAGACTAAACCCTAAATGTTCCAGGTCAAACTGCCCTCCTAGTACATCTATGTAGTCCCATTGGACCAAATACACCTGGAGAGTTGCACCCTCTTTCACCAACAATGAATTTGGCCCGTTGACCTCAGGGGATTGTATGTGCGTAACTGAGGGCACATTGGGCACTTAATCTTTATTATGTCTTCCCCCCCTCTGGTTTATTTCAATCATATCCTTT